ACATGATCTGCCTTGTGCTCCTACCACGGCACTGCCCCCTCATGAAGTGGGGCCGAGCGGTGGGGCTGCAGTCGCCACAGGCTGTCCTTGCCGCCACTGCTGAAGCCGCTGGCGCTGACTGCTTCTCAGCGCTGATCAGCCGCCCCCCAAGGCCATGGCTTAACAAGCCCCCGTAGAAGTGGATGGGAGGGGCTCTTCTCTTCCCTCTGCAAATAAAATGAAATTGATAGAAACAGTATGGGGAAGCCTTCCACCCCATCCGTCCTCACACGGGAATCAGTTGGCAAAGGGCTGCAATCCGCGCAGACAACTGCACAGCCAGACCCACAGCCACCTCCCCTGCCGCCCAGTTCCACCCAACTGGGAAACCTGTTTGCTCTGACACCATCTGATTCCAAAACTATCTTTACGCTCATACTCTTAGCTCTAAGCCTCTAAAATTATAATAAACCAAAGAGGAAACTACCAGAAGGCTTTATATATTAATAATTTCATTACATATGAAGATAAACTGAAATTATTTTCTAAAATGAAAAGACTCTAGGAAGAAAAACTCATATCTATCTCTCAGACTTTAGGGTTAGGGCTAGACTTACAGTTTTGGGGTTAGATTTAAGTATAATTGACAAAGGAGGATTTTTTTTAATTCCTTAATCTGGGATAAGTTGATAAAATGAAAAATTTCCAGAGGCAAAGATGATTTTTCTTCATCCTAAGGGAAATCGGAAGACAATAAAATTGTTCAAGAGAAGGGCTGATGGATGGGTCTGAGGTTGGAAAGATCCAGGAGGGGCCTGGACCAGGGCAGTTGGGGCCTGAGGTGGACTCCCTCCAGCACCCCCGGGGAGTGGAAATGCAGAAACTAGCAGAGCAGGCAGTCCGGGCCCTCGTGGGGCTTGTGCTCCAATGGAGGGAGCAAAACAGGGGGTTAAGGAGGTGGTTGGGCTCAGGGTGCGTGAGTAGGAGGGAGGAGAGGGAACACCTGGAGTGTGGGGCAGGATTCCAATGACAGTGATGGGGGAAAGGTTGTCAGCACCTCAGACCCTTTCCAAATAGTTTGAGGCTTTTGTCAGGTTGGTGTCCACATGGAGGGGCCACCAGCAGGAGATGGAGAAGTGGAGAGACCAGCAGGGGCTGTGGGTCTCAAGGGCATCCAAGGCAGAGGGCAGCATCCTCAGTAGGATGACAACTTCGACATTCAGGTCTGCAAAGCAGTCCATGGCATGTACCAAAATTTGGAACACACCTCACCTCTGCCCCAATGCCACCTGACCTGCACACCCAGTTCCCTGGGGTCACAGAGCTGTAGGATACCCAGGGCCCACATCATGAGCTCAGTGGCCAGCCCGTCATGCCATAGGCAGGCAATCCTCCTACGGAGGTTTGTGGAGCCTGGAAGGTGTTAGGCACTAAAACAGAGTGGGGCACCAGGGAAAGGAGACACACTGGAAGACAAGTCCAAAGCCCTGTCCACACTTAGCTAGGGGATACAGAGTAAGGTACGATGTGATGATGGCACCAGGAAAGAGCACTGTGCCGAATAAAGTCCAAATTCTTTCTGCCTGCAGGGGGGCACAGAAGGTTTTGAAAAGAGACAATACTGGACCTGGGGCTGTGAAGAATGAATAAGGGTTTTTCAGCTGAGAAGAGAGGGAAGGGCATTCCAGGTAGGAAGGACAGCAGATGCAAAATCACAGAGGTGGGAAAAACCCATCTAAAAACGTCTAAGAATGGCCCAGTAATTCGGGGTGGCCGGAACATGGGTACGTGGTCAGGAGTAACAGAGACAAAGCCGGAGAAGGATGCTGGAACTGTATTGTGAGATCTTGTAGGCCAAAGGGAGACCTCGACTGCCCCGCTGGCAGCGTGTGCAGGCATCAGAGCAGAGCTGGCCCTGGACAGGCAGAGGAGGGTCGGGGGAAGTAACGGGCAGGGAGATTAGTGGGAGGCCCCTGAAGCCAAAAGTGAGACAGGGCAGCCGGGCTGCCAGAGAAGGTTGTGGGGATGCAGAATAGAGCAGGAGTCACTCTATTGCTGTGGGTCAGGAGTCCAGGCATAGCCCAACTGGGTCTTCTGCTCAGGGTCCCACAAGGTTACAAAGTGTCAATTAGCACAGGGGTCTCATGTGGCGGCTTGACTGGGGAAGGGTCCACTTCCCACTCTCAAGGGTGCTGGTGGGACTCATACCCTGAGGCTGCAAAGCAGCTTTGGTTTTACTCCTGGCTGTTGCCTGGAGACCACCCACAGTTCCCCTCCACATGAGGTCCCCAACATCACCACTGGCATCCTCACAGCCAGCAGGGAGGGAGAGACGCTAGCAAGACTGGCACTATAATCTTACATCACATAATCACCTACATCCCACCATGTGTGCTGTATACTATGGGTTAGAAGCAAGTTTCAAGCCCCACCCACCCTCCAGGGATGGGGACCAGGAACCATGTGGCCACCTTAGAGTCTGCCAACCAGAGAAGACCATGCAGAAGGAGAGGAGAGCAGCTGAGTTCTGATGCGGACACAGGACTGCAGGCACCTGCGTGTGGCCATACAGAAGCAGGGCCCAGCTCTCTGCGGCAAGTTCAGAATAGAGAGAGAGACACACAGAGCCGATGGCCCCACACAGGGCCACCTGGGTGTGTGGCCACAGCCAACGTAGGCAAGAGCAGCTGTGGCTCCGACCCCAGGTCTTTCCAACCACACACACAAATTGTTTCCTGCTGGCACCAGGAGGGAGAGTGATCAATACTGCTGTCGAGAAAGACTGCACAGCTCATGATGCCATTAATACGAGATGTCCAAAAAGGCAAATCTGTAGAGGAAGAAGGTAGCCTGGTGGTTCCCTGGGCTGGGACAGGATGGACAGAGGCTGCAGATGGGCACAGGGGATTTCTGGCTTGGTGAGAATGTCATAAATGTGGACTGTGGTAATGGATACATACCTCTGTAAATTCACTAAAAATCGTTGATGTGTATTTAAAATAGGCACATTTTACGGCGTGTAAATTGAACCTCAATAGAGCTGGTGAAAACCTACTGCCGCCAGATAACGCTGCCCTCAAGGAGGGTTGGGTGGGTCCCACGGGGCTGGACAAACAGGTAGGTGACACTTCCCTCACAATAACATAAACCCACTCTCCTCCCCAGGACAGTCAGGGACTTGGAGGGTGGGGTGGAGGCAGCAGTGCTGGGGAGGGCGCTGGATGTGACCGCATGGCCCCAGTTTTCAGGAAGAGAGGATGTGGGTGCAGTGTCTCCCAGAGAGTGGCAGTGTGTCCTCACGCTTTCTCTCATCCCACAGACAGTGCCGGAGAACTGGCAGGTGCCGGCCCCAGCCCCAGGTTGGTATTGGGCCAGGGTGGAGGCACAGGCACACGAGTCCCCCACCAGGGCACAACAGCCCCAGTGGAAATCCATCCAGAAGGCTTCAGGGATGGGGGTGATGGCCAGGACTACCCCAAGCAACAGGAAAGTTTGTTTTGTTCTTGGCACTTCAGGGAGTCACAAGCTACGGAACTTCCTGTGTTGAAACCACAATGGACTCAAGGCCAGAGGAACGCTGAGCCCAGCTTGTCCCTGACTCGATGCCCAGGAGGCTGGCCCCCAGCAGCTCCCCTGCTGCTGTCTTCTTGCTGCCTCTGCCCGCAGGACCAGCAGCACGTCTCTGTGCTAAGTGCCCGGGACAACGAGGTAACCAGGGCCTTGGAATCAGAAACTTGACTTTACCCCCTGAAGAACAAGTTTGTGACCAGAGGGAAGCAGGCAAAGAAAATGAGTGTCCCTCTTGGCTGAGTGGCAGTAATAATAATATCGACGTTCATACAGCACTTGCTTGGTGCCAGCACCGTTAGAAGTGCTCTGCGTGAATCCGTAAGGCTGCTACTCAACACAACCTTAGCAGGGAGGTGTGATCCCATTTTACAGATGAGAAAAGCAAGGCCTGGAGCCAAATCCATCCTGACCTGTCACCCTGGCCCGCAAAGCAATCTCTACTCCTCACCCCATCCATCTGAGACCACATATACAAAGCCTCCTCCTCATGACACCCCTGCCACCTCTGTGTAACATCCACTGGCCCTACAAGACATGCCCAGTGAGTCACTATGATCAGCACAGAAAGCATTTCTACTTAAGCTTGCCTAACACAGTAAACATTTTTAAAGTGTTCACCTCACCTGTGTCTACGATTAGATAAAAGTCAAAACAAGTTTCAAGCAAACTAGACGTTATTTTGCAGCCATGCAACCCTGCTAAGTATTTCGAGTGAGGCGCAGACTTATGAATCCCAGCTGCGGAGGGCCGCGGCGTGGGACTGAAGGCAGGCGGATAGAATTACACACGCCTGGATCTGGAAGGAGCCCAGCCCCTCATGAGTGAGATGAGAACCCTGCAGCCCCAGAAGGGGCGTGACCTGCCCAAGGTGAGTCCCGGAGGCCACCAGGGGCGGCCGAGGGCCCCCAGCCCGAGTTCTGGGCACGCTGCTCCATGTCTGATTCACTCGCAGCTGAAGGCGGAGCAGTTTCTCAGACACCTGACAAAAGTCATTTCCAACTAAGGGTTCTATTTAGTCCTTAAGCGTGACCTGTGCATTTTCCCTCCTGGAGTTGGATGTCTAGGGAAAGCTGCCAAGGACGTTCGCCAGGGAGGGCAGTGTGGAAAACGGGAAGAGGAAAATCGGAGCAGGAAGGCGCTGGCACGCAGCCGCAGGCCGCGTGAAGGTCTCACCCTGCACTGGGGACCGCGACCCGGCCCCGCCACGTCCCGCGGGCCACAGTGACGGCCCAGCGCAGGCCCCGCCGGGAGGCGGCCCGCAGGGGAGTCCTGTGCGGCCTCCAGACGACCGCAGCTCTCCCCCTGCACTCGCCTCTGACCTCTGAGCGCGAGGCCACCCCGCTGACGTCCCGCCGGCTATTTCTCACGCGACTTAGCGCAGTTTGGGAAGCAAATTTTCTAAACTCATCAGTCAGTAAACCCACGCCCAGAGTGATACTGGCGGCAATTACCATGGTCCAGGCTCCTTGATGACTGTCGAATGACGGCGTCATCTCTTCCGCCAACGCTTGATGATTTTGGAAGGACAGCGTCACTCTCGCGCAGCCGTGCGTCAGGACGGAGCCACGTCACTTCCGGAAACTCCAGGCCGCCAGTGGAGCAGCACCGCCGTGTGGGACGGGCCTAGCTCTGACGCGGCTCGCCTTTCTCCGCGTTCCCCTCTGTCCCTTCCTTCGTCCATTCCACACGCCACCTCGGCGTGCCTAGTGGTGCTGCGCACTAGGATGGAGGTGGCCGTGACCGCCCCGGCCCGGGAAACCAGGGCCAAACCATACACAGGCGCTTGCCGGAAGTGAGCTTCCCTGAGATCCGGGTCAAGTCTCCCTGCGCGGCGGGCGATGGCGGGTGACGCACAGACCTGGCGACGACCGACACCTGCCGGCGGAGCAGTCTTGGAAGGCAGAGGATGAGCGTCCTGCACGGCGGGAGGGCCGGTCTCTGCCCGCTGCAAAGGGAGGCGGGGGCTCCGGGAGGAAGTGGCATCCCTGAAGGAAGGGTGAGAGGTCACGGAGCTGGGAAGAGCTCGGACTCGCAAGGTGAAGGGAGGAAACAGCACCAAGTGGGGCGTGGAGACCTCGCAGGGGAGAAGAAGGCTGGACCGACCAAGGCCGCAAGAATCCGCCCCTCAGGCAACAAAGACAGATGCCAGGCTGCCGCCAGGGGCCGAAGGATTTGTCCTTGTTTGGTGTCTACGGGCCAGAAGGGAGGGATGACCTGGAACAGCCCACATGGCACTTTGTTCAAAATGGCCTCTCCACGTGCCGATTCCTGGTTCCTCCGCTCTCCTCTCAGGCTCTGTCTCCTGCTTTCTTGAGTAAATATTCCCATCAGAAAACAGAACCATCATAAAGTCATTTCTACCACCGAGTTTATTTAACACGGTCCAGCCCCAAACTTAAAACCCAAGGAGACCATTAATTTAGCCCAGCACAGAGCAGGGTGAGGGCCTGCGCCCAGACCTCCCGAGGTCCCCCCAAACTTCCCCCCGCTAATTTATTCCACGTACAATCTCCTCCGGGTCTAGAGGGATTCCAGCTTCGTGGAGGTCCTCTTAATGGAGGATTTATCAAACCAGAGTATATGCATGGTATGAACATCAGATCCATTATCTAAGCTGTTGGTTTTAGTCGAAATGTCAAGAAATGATTTAGTATAAAATCCATCACAAAAGCATTTATTAAAAAATCTTTTGCTGCTCTTCATCTACAAACATTTACTACCCTGCATACAAATGTCAGTGGTTGGGCCTAATATACTTCTTCATTTATTTACTGTTCATTCCTTCTGGATAAAAGCCAAAAATGATGTCCCCGGTGGACTAGGGCACAGTGCTGCTGAGAGAACACTTGTCACTACCCTGGGGTCAGCAAAGCCACCTGATTGGGGTGCCCGTGACAACAGCTCACCTCTCAAAGGTCATGCCTGCTATGGCAAGTGGAATCCTCTTCACACAGAGGTTTTACTTAGAGATGGAAGTTTATCAATGTATTACTAGGACTTTCCAGAGCAAGTAAACACATAAAAGAGGACTTGGCCAAATAGACCAAAGTTTGCCCAATGTGTGTCTGTCCACATACAGGATGTGTGTGAAAAAACAATTAACCCACTCGTTCTCTGCCTCTGTTCCCAACACCTGTATGCTCTCCAGCAAGCTCCTCTGTGTCGACCAAATTCTCTACATTAAGCCAGTTCCCAAGGAATCACAGAATTCTGCAGTGGGACAGAGAACTTCTTTGGCCACTGGACACTATCGCCTGGCTTTGAGACAAGAAAACAAGAGCCCCAGAGAGCCTGAGCAAGCTGCCTGGGTCACACAGCCAGTTGGTGACAGCAGCAGCCCTAGAACTTCGGACTCGTGGTTTTGGATTAAATATATGTCGTCCAGCCCTGCTGGAGGGGAGCGAGGGGATTCCAGCACAGAGACAGCGGCCAAAATAAGCAAACAAATACAGGCCACGGACACTCAGGGGGAGCTTGGGTTTCAGTGCCTCGGTTGTGAGCATGGAAAACCACATTTCACCTCCAAGTAACCCGCATCTGCTTTCTATCTTCCAAATCTACAGCCGTCACATCATCCCTGCAACAGGGGGTTATCGATGCCTTCCTTACGGACCGTGTATTCCAAATTGGCAAAGCAAACGTCCTGCTGCTAAAATCGCTCCAGAGAACAGATCGCTGACGGCCACTTCCCACACTGAAGGAAGGCCAGGGGGCTGTCCAGATGCCTCGGCCTTGGGGACCTGGGCATCAGAACATGTGTACCACTAGGGCCAGCTCCATTTGGTGGTGTCTCCTCTCAGCTGCAGCAAACTGTGCCAGCAGCAGGCCCTTCTCTCACCCCCACCCCCAGACCCCCCCCCCAGTGACAGGGAGTTGCTCCCCGAGAGCTGTGCCACACCCAGCTGTAAATGCCCCTCAGATAGGCGTGCAGGGCCACAGGGTCCAGGCCATGTCCCTGTCCCCAGAGCTTCCCAGACATCTCCCTGGACAAGCTGAGGCGAGGTGCTTAGGCAGGGGGCTGGGAGGAGGCTTCGAGGAAGGCAGGCAACATGCACCCACATCTGGGGGCATAAACCTACAACCCGCCTCCCCCCACTACCCCTTCCATTTTCACTCTTTATTCCTAATTTCTTACTTTCCTTTTCTTTCCCCTCCCCTGCCTTAGCTAGTGAAGACGATGTTGGTGATAACAATGATAAGAATACCAATGGTATCATTACAACCCACAGTAGAAAAAGCTAAAGTTCCCGGAGCACTTTGCTGGGCTCTTTGCTGTAACTTATTAAATCTTTGCAAGGAAGAAGAGACGATTGTTAATCCCGTTGCTCCTTCCTGGCACCGTCCACAACCAGTGCTTCTGCATACTGTTCCCTCCCTTGCTGTCCAGAAGGCCCCTGAGCCCAGGGAGCCAGGGCTCTATCTGTCATATGCGCTGCTGCAGCCCAGTGCCCAGTGACAGTTAATAAACGCTACTGAAGGGGAAACTAAATCCCATTTTACAGATGGAAAGCTGAGGCTCTAAAAAGTTGGAGATCCCAGGTGAACCCAGGCAAGAGATGGCAGTCAGGCCGGGCAGGTGGCCTTCCTCTCCTCCTCTCCAGGACTGCCATGTCCTAGGCAGTCTCCTGGCCTCCCACAGCCTGCACTCACCTTCCTTAACATCAGTGCAGGCAATTCCCAGCTCTGATCACGGATTTGGTCCCCCCCCACCTCCAATTTATTCTGGATAGGAAGATGCCTGGGATTAGGTGCCACCCTGCGGCAGGCATCTCCTCGGGGCTCAGGCCTCTCGGCACCCTCTGGCTCAGCTTCCACTCACCTGCGTTATTCCTAGCGTGAAATACATCTGTATCACTTAAAGGGAGCAAGCTCAATTATTTAACTCTACCAAGATTCAGTTCAAATATAAGAGTTACAGTGTACATCTGAGACTTCTGGGAAATTGATTTTTCTGCTTAAGATCATTTCATAGGGTTTAGCATTAAAACCAAATCGGGCGCAAACTGATCTCTTAGTAGATATGGAGTTTGTTTCCTTTTTCTAAAGACCAGCCCAAGTGAGAGTCCTTCTTCTCGCTCCTCCACTTGCCGTATGTTTTTTACAATTTTAACAGACTGTGGTGGCCCACCAAAAGTCATCTTTAAAGCCGCCACTCCATCTTCTCTCATCATGGCGCTGTCGGGCCAGATGTGCCCAGGGACGGCTAGAGAGCTGGGAACAGCATTTAGCACTCAGCTGACCTTGCATCCACCTTTTCAGAAAGCCTGCTGGAGCCAAGAGGGTTCTGGTTTTGTTATTTTTTTTTTCCTATTTCTCAGCCATTTTCAAGTGGTTTCTTTAATTTCCTCCTGAGAGTTCTGCACTGATTGACCAGGGATTTTAGACCTAAACCTCTTGCTAGAAAATACCATTGACTGTTGCTGTGATGGAAAAACAGCCTTGGAGCTGATCTAGATGTTTACAATTAAGTTAGCCGGTTGTGGTTTCTGTAAAGATGCTCTAATACTTAATGTAAACAGTTTGTTTTCAAGTTCTTCAGAGCAAAAAGAACCTGTGCAATCATCTGAGGACAAATGGTCTCAAATAACTCCCCAAAAGATGACAGTTTAAAAAATAGGAATGGTGAGATTGTTAAATTAAGAGCATCTGTGAGTCCATAAAGGAAAACAAGAATGAGGTGGGGACATGGAAGGCATCGACACACCCACTGAGTCCCCAACCCATTTCACTGCAAAATCATCCCTCAGTGGTTGTCACTGGGGAAAAGAAGTATGTGTGTTAAGGTGCAGGCTGAAGAGTTATAATTATTGCAATGGAAGAATAAACATGAGACTGAGGGTGTGTGCTAGGGAATGGACTTTAAAGACAGAATTCAACCAGAATTCATGCCCACAGTTGCCAGTGGGGCAAGCGTGGGTGGGTGCAGCTCTCAGCCGGGGCTGTTTCTATCTGCTGGTGAGAGCCATGGTAACCCAGCTCTTGGGGCGGGCAGTGAGTGCTCACGAGGAAACGCACGGTGTCTGGCACACACTAAGCACTGCACAAATGGTCATGATTATTATTTACTATTATTATTAACACATGTTAAGTGTTAATATGCCACAGTGACTGGCACATTGGGAAAAAAGGTGGGGGAGGTGATTTCCTGTCCTCTGCCTGTCCTCTTCAGGACAGGCAGAGGATGAAATCAGATGAAATCTAAGGGCCTGGGCTGACCTGTAAAGGCTTGGGATGACTATTGGCCAAAGCCTTGACCTTTCGGGTGGCAGCATAGATGGTGCTCCAGAAGAAAGCCAGGGGACACCGGATGTCCACATCCCTGAAGCCTCCACAGCTGTCATTCATCTGACCGGGGTGGTGGGGGATGAGGAAGTTGCCCTCCACAGCGACAGCGTCCAGCAGAACTCTCCACTATGAGAAACGCACCCACGGCTGTGCTGCCCCCTGCAGCGGCCACCAGCCACCAGTGGCCGCTGAGCACTTGAATATGGTAAGTGCCACTGAGGAAAGGAGATTTAATCATTTTAATTAATTTGTTTAGTAGGTTGATTGATGATTAATCAATTAATTGAGTCAATTTAAACAGCTACTTGTGGCTAATGGATACCATATTGGACATCACAGCCCTAAGAACAAGACTGGACTATTGCCTGCTCCGAGGCCC